ATTTTGGATTTTGATAAAATGTTCTTGGCATCATTTTAGTTAATTGAATCCACATGCATGACTATTGTAAGCACTAAATTGGGCACTTGTTGAGTTAAAAACAGAATGGGAGACAATATAAACTAGAATGTGAGAAAAATAAACAAAATGGAACCAAAATACCTCACTGCAGAGTACAATTGCTTTCTTGGTCATGGTAGATTGGACATTGGCTGCAGGCTGGATTGTCACCACAGGTACATTCACCAGCAGTGGAGTCAAGTCCACCTCCACATAGAAACGAGGCTTTGCAAAAACCACGCTGACAGCCAACTTCCAGAACAGCACAGGTGTGCACATGATCATTTTGTTCTTGACTGAGTCTGGGGAGAAGTATCTCATCACAGAACAGGAGGGAACCTGACAGCAAGGCACTTTATTGATCAGATATTGGGACCTGCCCTCCTGCCCTACCTGTGTGCTCATCACGCTTGTCAAGGCTATATAAAAGCGGACAGTGAGAGCATTAAGTCTTTCGGTAATTAATAGCACATTGAGTAGAAGAGCTCATCCACTATATCAAATTTGAGAACATGGCTGCGTTGGCCTACTACCCTGTATGGTGAAGTGGAAGTAAAACCCAGAACGGGGGGGGACTTTGCTGGAGCTCTTGAGTCATTCAATTCTAGAGGTCCACTGGCTTTATCACCGATTACCTGGATCAATTCCCATTACACTCTTCTCTGTTCAAGACCAAACACGTCCCACAGTTCTTCCGTGCAGGACATACCTTTAGGTCTTGGCAATGGACTGTAGCTGGTTGCTCTGCTCTGGCCCGATTCCACAGCAGTAACATGGGGATGAGGATTGTACAGGATTACAGCCAGCTAATAAGATTACAGTCTCGGGGACTGCAATCTTATTAACCCATTTCAGTTTTAACAGCATCCTGTAACTGACATTCTAGATTTTTAGCCCCAATGACCAAAAAGATGTTCATGCAGACATTCTTCCATTTGTAGCCTCTACAAGCTCAGACCCTTCCCATTCGTACTTGTTTTTGGGATCTGCTTATAGACATTAAAAGCCATCTACTAGGTACTTGCTCACTCTTGGAAGTCTGAATCTTTTAATTATTTTAATTTGTTCCTTGCATCATTTTTCCCCAACTGTCCTTCCTTAGTATTGTCTGCAACCATAAGTCAACATTAGTGATACTAGGAAGAGCAAGGCTTCTTATATTTCTATGCATTAGATTACTAACCCAGCTTGAATATTTTCCCTGATCTGTACCATCTTTCACTCTCTCAATCTCTGAAAGACTACCATAACGCAAATTCAAAAAGACCTAAAAACCAAATTTGAGCAAAACACCATGGTGGTGATATTTAATGGAGAAGTGCAGAGTGCTACACGCAGGTAGCAGAAAAAAAGATTGCAAAGATAAAGCCTGAATCCACATTTAACTGACAAACACCCAAGCTCTTTATCTTCACACCTGTGGGGAAGCAAACATGGATATTGACAAGGGTTGAAATGGAAAGCAATCAATTTTTACCTTGTAACCATCACATCATTTATGCATTCCTCCTGTACAACATACTGTACATGTAATTCAATTCCACAAAATCTGAAAACAAAAGGAGCATTATAGTAAAATAGTTCAGCCCCAACCTCTGTCTATAACAATAAGCCAATAAAGAAGATTAGGGGTTCAACAGTTTATTTTTTTCCATCTTTACACATTGTCAAAGGAAAACAGTGAGGTAAAAGTGCAAAAATTACAGGATTATACATAGTCATGATGCTGGTGATAACATTTTGGAATTCAAATGATGTTTTATTACCCCCTCTTCACACTTTCACTATGACCAAAATTCTTGCAAAGAGTACAAGCGTTGAACGACTCCCTCCCAGACGAGACTATACTGAAGTCTATCAAGTACAAACCCAGGACAAGCCAAGGAGTAACACTACCTGGAAAGTCAAGGAGAAGCAAATCTTATGAATTTAACTGAATGCACCTTCAACAAGAACAAATGCCAAAAGGCAAAAAGCTAAAAAAAAATCCCCACCCACTTCTATAAACTGTCTGTCACATCCTGTTATGTGAAAAATGAATTGTAAATTTAGGTCAATAAAAAAAAAAGGCCTCTGCAATACTTTGTAATTGTCATTTGTTTAAAGGACAAAAGGAGTAAATTCCAAACACCCCCCCCCACTCTAAAAATGATCTACTCAAGTACATGAAATGTTTAAGGTGCACCGTTTGTGCTTCAAGTGAAATCCAATGACTCCCAGCAAAATCAACCCCACACAACTCCCACCACAGCCTGGAACCCAGTATACCCCACCTCATGGAAGAAGCAGATAAGGCCACGACACCGAGCCATGACACAGGCAGGGGAGAAGGCCAGCAGCAGATGCTGCAGGAGGAGAAAGAAATCCCAAAAAAAACTCAATTCACAAATACTTTATTAGTCACAGAAGATGAAGAGGGTCACGGCCTACACATGACCACAATAATCCCCCCCCCACCCCAAGACCCCCCAGTCCCATATTAAAACATTCAATAGCTTATCTGAACAATGTTTAAAGACTTTAAATTACTTAATTGCATCTATTGCGGGATTGAAAAAGTGTCCATTATGGCACAGTTTTGGAGACCCATGAAAGAGTACCGCATCCACTATTCTCTATAGTATGGCTTGAATTGCACAGTATGATTTAAACTGGGATACAAATTTGCATTTAAAGATAGTGGTCAAACAGCACTTCCGATAAGGATGCACACTGCAGAAGATCTGACCTTTTTGTTCTTGTCTGCTTCTAGTAAAATGCAGAGAATGTTTCAGTGGACTGGTCTTTAAAAAAATCAGTTTTTATTTCTGGAAAGTAACGAGGGGGAAAATAAGCATGCTGCTGGAATGGTTATACCTTCAACACGCTCGGAGAAACCGGGGGGTTGTAAAATAGTTGCTGCGACACAAGTCTCCTCACTCAGCTAGTAAGTCCCAGCCATAACCAGGAAACAGTCAACAGACCAAAAGCAAAGAAAAACACCGCTTTAAATAACACTTAATTCACAAATTCCTTAACAAGGACCATGACTTCCCCCAAGCAGCTATGACTGTGTAGCTATATAAAAAAAAAATCCAGCCTACTCATACGAAAACTGCATTACCACTCATACACATTCTGAAATTAACTTACACCCCCCAAAGACAAAAAAAAAAGGGAAAAAGAGCTAGGCACTTCTGTACTTTTTTTTTTTACGAATTCATAGAATATGCCATTTGGTCCCCTTTCTTATATCCCAACATAACATGCAAAAAGAAAAAAGGTTCACTCCAATAAAGTTCGCTCCCCACCACAGCCCCCCCAGAGCCTCACAAACATCGCTGCAATGCAAGTACAATACGCCCTGACCCAGAACCATACCCCACTGCTGCAGGAGACTACAGTGACCCTGCAACCAGCTATCTTTTTCATAAAGGGCAGGTCAACAACCCTATGTTTAGGGCAGATAAGAGGGAATACAGTTATCTCTCCATGGCACATCTGAGCATAATACAAGCCACTGAAGTTCAGAGCTAAGTGCCAAGAGGCCATGGAAGAAAAGGGGAAAAAAACTGAACAAAAAGTTACGTAAGCAAACCGCCGGACGTCTGTGAAGCGAGCCGAGTTCCTTCTCCAAGGCAGGAGCTGGTGATGAAGCACGCCTGTACAGAAAGGCGGCTGGGGCTCCCGACTGCTCAAAGAGAAGCCTGCCCTCAGCCAAAGCACAGGCAGAGCTTGCTTCTGTGCAGGAGGCACAGGCCCTTGTTGCTCCAGAAGTCATTTCCCTCACCTTCTTGGCCAAATTGCAGAATGGATCAGAGGCAAACCCTGAAAATGTGGTTTCTACACCGGCAAGACATTTGTCAGTGTTAACACGATATATAAGGTGGCCACAAAGAGTGCCCTGACTGCACACTTCCAGAGATAATTATAGCCTGCTGACACGTTCATTGGCCGCTGCCTGCAGACCTGGATCCCATTTTAGTACAAAGCAGCATGAAGGCACACCAGCTATTCAATACCCAAGCAGACCCTTTTAAGGCAAGCGAAGAACCTCAGGGGCCGAGAAAGATCCAATTACCAGCACTCTGCAAGGACACGATATTCCAGGTTCCAAACCGCAGCACAGAGACCCAAACCCACAACCACCAGCTCTCCTGCAGGGCTGACTACCTGCAGCAAGCCATCCGTCAGATGTATCAATACGCTTCCTCTCTCCCAGAAAGACACAGCACGCACACCTCGCAAGGCAGTAAGCAAAACTTAAAAAGGAAAAAATTTACAAAACCACAAAACAGCACCCCGAAAAGAGAACAGGATAGCAGGCGACAGCCAGAGCACCTCTTCTCTTCCCGAGGGCCGACGGGCAGATTTTTGGAACGTTCCACTGTAACGGAAAGAAGGAAAAGTGGAGGGAAAAAACCCTTTAAGTTGAAGCTTAAATTGAGCTTCCCCCCTGCCCCCACCAACACCAATCTGCTAAGCACTGCCCCTGCCCCGTGCACCCGCACCTCTGCAAGGCCGGAGGGGGCGCCCGTCGAGCGGAGGAAGACGGGACCAGTCAAGTCGCTCTTCTTGCTAAAGCAGTTTGCTTATGACCCGGGAGGACAGGAGGCACCTTCAGTTCCACAGTTACATCTCACAAGAACACAACCTCACTCACACAAACAAGGCATTAAATACTTCTTGAGCAATAGCTGCATATTTATGTGCATTAACCCCTCTTTTTTTTGGTTTCCAATTTTATGTTTTTTTTTTGGTTTTTAAGCCTTTCCAGTACACAGGAATAATCCCAATTTAACCCCCCTTTTTTTTTTTTAAGAAAGGCTCATTACATTTTTCAACAGATCACATACATTTTATACTTTTGGGGGGAAAAAAAGGCACTCTTTTTAGACAAGAAATTGTCCTCGCATCTGGACAGAACTGTTGCCACTCGCATTAAGGCAATGTCACGGTCCTAGACTTGAACAGGATTTATTGAGAAACAAAAGTACGACAAACGCCACGATGGGGCCCAAGAGTCTGGAACCGTCTCTGCAGCAAAGAAGGAAAGAGAGAGAGAGAGAAGGAGCATTGTGTCCCGTGTTGCATCTGCAGTTCACAACCGATAAGGGGAGCTTTTATTTTATTCCTGGTCCCCTCATCTCAAATCAGTTCTGCTCCTTCAGTTGCACGGCAGCCAGGTGGGATAAGACTGGCTGCAGGAAGCAACATAGTAGTTGCTGAAGTTCAGGTCCCGGACGTAGGGGGCTGGCTGGTAGTAGCAGGTGACACTGGACGCATCCGGGATGGCATTCTGCTCGGCCAGCACCCGGAAGGCCAGGAGGGAGATCAAGTTCAGGGTCTGCCGCCGCTCGTGGCCCATCAGGCACACGGTGCTCTCGTTCACCACCCTGCGCAGGATCATGAGGTAGTCGTACTTGCTCTTCTCCTCGCCCACGAAGTGGCTCTGGAGGTAGGACTCCAGCTTCCGCTGCTGCTCCACGATGTCGGAGAAGTCGATGAAGAAGCGGGAGCACATGTAGCGCTCCAGGGCCTTGAACCTCTCCTCGTCGGTGGGCCTGAAGTCCCGGACGAGCAGGTTGCAGTACTTCAGCAGCCCGCCCCCCCGGATCTCCTCGGGGTTCTTGGTGGCGATCAGTTTGTTCTTCAGGTGCTCCAGGGCCACCGCGAAGTCGCCGTACACGCTCTCCCCGATGACCGTGGGGTGGAAGTGCTTGGACATGGGGTTCTCGGCGCAGTCGTAGTAGAAGAGCAGGGAGTCCAGGACGATCTGGAAGGAGTCCACGCTGAACTCGAACTGCCGGCGGATCGAGTCGACGAACTTCAGCTCCACGTTCCTGCCGTTGTTGTTGGACAGCGAGATCAAGCTCCAGCGGTCCAGGTCGGTGCACACCTTCACCAGCTTCTGCACGTAGGCCTCCTTGAGGGTGGTGGGGGTGATCTTCTCTTTGTTCACGCCCTCGGGCAGGAAGTCCAGCAGCGTGCCCAGAACCACCTCCTTGACGAGCTGGAACTCGGCCTCGCTGGGCAGGTCCACCCTGAAGATGACGTCCAGGTCCTTGTAGAGCCAGCCGTTGTCCTGGACCAGCACGTGGCTGGCGGTGGAGCCGTTCAAGCGAACGTCCCGGACGCGGATCCCCTTCTCCTCCAGGCGGCTCCGCACCATCTGGACGATGTCCTTGAGCCGCACCTCCAGGGTGGGGAAGTTGCCCCTGCCGTGGACAGGCACGGCCTCGGTCATGACTTCGTCCAGGAGGCGCACCTGCTCCCAGGTGAGCACGCTGGAGCACCTGCTCTGGTTGCTCCCGGCTTCGGCCATGCTCAGCTGTGTCTAAATCTCAACTGCCGGGAGGGGAGGAAAAAAAAAAGGATTAATGTATGACTACAGCAGCAGAAGAGAAATCCATTACGACATTAAAGAGAGCGCATCCCGCACGCTTAACGGTTGTATACCGACGCAGCAACACCGAGCGAATTGAATCATTGTGACTTCACGATGACTCAACAATATGACCTTTACCCAAAGCAAACAGCCCGTTCATTTGTGTCCTGCCCCCTTTGCCTCGCATGCAGCACACAAGGCAGGTTTTCCAGCTCTGCCCCTGGGCGACTTGCCCGACAGCCCGACAGCTCACGGTTTGCGGCTCCAGAAGACAAACTTGACAAGAGTCGCGCATCGCCGTCCCACACAGCAGCCAAGTCGGGATCATTCAACCAACCCTGCTGTCGTCCTATACAACTCGGGGCATTTATCTCCTATTAACTACCGACCTTTTAAAACAGCTGGAATCGCCGCGGCAGGAGGAGGGGGGGAAGACTCGAGTTGCTTTAAATTTTAATTTAGCGATCCGCAACTTCAGATAACTTGACTAAACCACATACACGGCTCAAAGACGCGCTCGGAGAGCAGGAAAAAGGACGATCTAGTCCGATTTAATAACCACGCATTAAGAAACTCACTTCTATTTTTGTAACCGGAATAAAAGAGACGTGGGGTGCTCGGCATTTTTTAAAAGCCGACCGCACTGCGTGATGTCACTCGACATTTTAATTCTAGGTTTCGCATAACTTCAATTTTGTTTAAAGATCAGGCGAAGCAAAATTACGTGCGTGCGACCGATCAGCCTGGATATTGAGTTCCAGGAGTGTGCATAGTTTTTTTTTCCGGATTTAAAAATAATTAACGTGCGTCTATTACGAGGCGTCTGCAGAAACTTCAGCCAACGCAGATCACACGTGTAGTACAGTTACCACATACGGAAACCGCTAGGTCTCACAAAGTTAGCAAAACACTCTATACCCCCAAAAAAAACCAACCCAAACACACGGTTTTAAAGCAAAAGATTTTAACAGACAAGAAGCAAAAGCTCTTTCCCCTCCGTCCTAAAAGTAAGCTCTCAAGTTTAAACACCCACCACCAGATGTGCACTTTAAAAAAAAACTCTTACCCCGGACGCGCACTTTTATTAAACACCTTGAACAAACCAAGGCATCCAAACCAGCGGGATACAGAAGTATACTTACTGCGCAGACAGGCTCCGATCAACACTTGTAAATGACACGCAGGAGAGAAACAGCTCTAATACAGACACTCAAGCCACATCCACAACCTGCAACCCCACTGCTGCGCTGTGAGCACCGGGCCCACGGAGCGCTCTCTTATACGCCGAATCACTACCGCCGGGAAGGACGCGTATTCCTCCACTGCGAGGCACTATTTTGTTACTCGTACCTGTATCAATGGAGAGCAAACAACAAGAAAACAACCTCGGGGGATATGTACGCCCTATTTCAACCACGGCGAAAACACGACGTTGGGGGGAGGGGGGAGAAGACGACTTCACCGGGCGGGGGTTTATAACATTTTTTCATCCCCGACCGCAGGACAGTTATCTGGAGAGGCATCACTCCGCGGCGCAGCGTCCCCCGATTGGTCGCCACGCTTTGTGCGTTGCCAGGCGACGGGAAGCGCCCGCTGGATTCAAACGCGAAGCCGGTGCGCTCAGGGCAGGCCGCTCAGTCTGGGGGCTGAGGGCGACGGCGATGGACGATTAATAGTTGGGGGCGTGAGTTGCGCGTAGTACGCTGTTTCAAAACATCCAATTATATTAAACAATTACAGTATACGAAGGACAGCCAAAAACCTGCTCAATTAGCCGCAATTAGACATCTATATATACGCTCCTGTGCCTGATGGTTACACTGTAACTCCGTGATACACTAAACTACTTCACATCCATCTTGCACTACTTTCCCCTTGATTTATTGTGTGGTACGACACGACCAGTGCCGGCGCAACCCATACCTGGGCCCGGGTGCAAGTACAATAAATACAAAAGCCCCCCTTCTCCCTCCACCAGTGCACACAGAGCAAGAGAGCAGGGTTCAAACGGGCCACCACATTGAACTTGATACTTAGTAACTAGTTATTTAAAAAGTGAATATAGCTTATAGCTTGACTCGTCGCAGCGAACTCGTCGATGATATCGCTGAAATCCACCTGCCGTGCGGCGCGGTTCTCTACAGACAGCAACGCCGGAGCTGACAGTCTGTCCTGCGACATGCTGGACCTGAGGTAAGGTTTGATCAGTTTCAGTTTGCTAATTCAGCCCTGGCGACAGCAACTGGAATGGTTAAAAACACTTGACATGCTATCACTGTGTCTGGAAACGTAATGGTCTTTTCTGTTCTTTGCGCTTCTCGCTGCCCGATTTACTGTACATTTCTGGCTCGCTTTCACGTTGCACACAGACGAACTCCAGTTTAGCTAGATGTAAGCTCGTCTGTTGCTCAGTCTTGACAACATTAGCAACAGCGGAGCTTTGATTAATGTTTTGAGGTGACGTTTCCGATCAGGTTTCACAAAATCTAGGCTAAACGGTAAGCCTATCCGACCCTTAGTCCTGCTGCTTCCCCTGCTGATGGGAAGCTTGTCAAAGTGGAATTAACTCTTAAGGTTTCAATGCGGGAAAATTAAACATCAAAATAAGGGCCGAACCTTTCGGTTATAAGATAACTCGAGCAGACGGTTCCTGGCTGTTTTAGTTACACCAGAAAGCCGGTGTTTTGTGGGATAAAAAGGGCTTGAGATACTGACTGGACCCTATACACCGTAGGTTATACACCGGTTATACCGAATCTGTAACATAGCCTACTGTTATTGCGTTGATCACTAATGTGTTTATGATGAGATGTGTTTTTGATGTGATGAATTTTCCATATGTTCTCAACTACAGTTTGCAAAGCTCCGCCCTCTCGGTTCTTGTTCTAAGTTATTAATTTATGATTTATCTACTTTTACTGGGATTTCAAAGCTTTACAGTATGTGTAAGTGTATCGAAGCATCTGGTAAATTAAACTGTAAATGTCCCAATAATTTAAGTTGACACGAATTGAAAAATAAAAACAAGTTCATAGAAGACAGCTAGCCGTACCAGCGCCCAGCTATGCAGTTTAAAAGCATGATCCTCTTTGAACTGAAATATACCGCTCGAGAAAAGAGGCTTCAAGGAAACCATAGAAAAACATCTGTATTTCTGAACATCTATCCATCCAGCCATTATCAGTAAAGGACTATGACAATGCATAGAAACACAAAAACTTCACCAACAAGACACCGCGCTCTTGCAGTTGCGAGTAGATCTCAGAACCGAATCCAGCAGTTTCCAGAAAGATCCTGGGAAAGTGACTGCAGTAAAGAGGGCTTTCTCTGGACACCCTCTATGATTAGTGCAAAGAAGAGCTTCCTGCTCTTAGTTCTGAATGCACTTGCTTGCAACTTCTATTTCTGACCTTGGGACCATCTTTCATTGCCAAATCATGAGTAGGTGAATCGCTGGGGCTGTGTCAGTGTCTTTCAGGATTTCAAATACGCCTCTCCCCACTTCGTCCTAATCAGCTCTGATTATGTTGAAGGGGTCCTGTTTCTTGAAGTGTTTTTGTTGACTTTTTCTTTCAAAAAGATCCAGGATACTGATGTCATTTTTTAAAAGAGATTACCAGTATTACAAACCATATTCTAAGGTCTCACTAGCTTTGCTTCCATTGATTTAAATTCAACACTTTTCACTCCGTTCTGCATTCTACCGGCTTTATTGATCACATTACTCCTGTCCTGGAGTCCCTGCAATGGCTTCCTGTCAAATTCTGTGTGGATTTCAAAATCCTCATGCTCACCTATAAGGCTCTGCACGGCTTGGCACCTCAGTACCTGTCTGAACTATTATCACCCTACTCCCCACCTCACAGCCTTCTCTCTTCTAATTCTGCTCTCCTCTCTGTCCCCCAAGCCCGTCTACATTGTATGGGTGACAGGGCCTTCTCCTGCTGCGCCCCCAAGCTCTGGAACTCTCTCCCCAAGGATATCAGAGAGTCACCTTCTCTAAACTCCTTCAAATCCAGACTCAAAACCTTCTTCTTCAGAAGAGCCTTTACTGAACTGGTTCAAGTTTTTACCCCTCTTCTCCTACTATACTTAATACCACCATCCACGGCCTCCTCTGTGTATCGTAATTGTGTTTTATCTTGTGTGTTCTTTTTTTTGTTCTTGTTGTCATTCTGTAAAGTGCTTTGACTAGCCACCTTTACAGGTGCTATATAAAATAATGTTTATTTTTATTGCTATTCTCTATTCTTTCAAAGAGGAAAATGAAGAGTCATTTTTTTTTGCTGATGACACATTATAAACTCAGTCCTTTTCACAGATACATCCACTTGACATGTTTATAATGCAGATTCGTACTGCCTGCCTATAATATTTTGCAGTCATCTAAACATCACCTGAAAACATCACGGGTCTAGTAAGTATGCCAAAGGCAAGCTCATTGATTTTAGTCCAAGAAAAGCAGCAATCTTCTAGAACAAGCAGGAAGTGTGCATGTCCTCACACTCCACCAATCGCTATGCTGCTGTCTCCTCTTATGGAAGTGCAAAGGTCTCTCCTCCGGCTCTTCTCTGAGTGCCAGCTGAGTGAAAGAAGAGTCTTGCCTTGGCAGAAACTCTCTCATAGCTGGTGAGTCATTCTGGACTTTTCTCTGCCCTGTTTTATTGCTATCAGTCTTAACCAACAGATCAAATGATCAAAAGACTTCCAGGCCTAAATATGGTGAGATTTCTTGAGACTTAAATGAGTAGCCCCGCTTTTCAATCTGCTTCAGTTCTAGGACTCTGCTTTTTAGTTTGACACAATGGAAGAAGAGTTTTCTCTTTGCTTCATCGGTGCTTATTGCTTACTCAACAAATAAGTTTATTTGTAGCAAAGTCACCCAAATGTGTCATAGATCTAACAGTGGGCCAAAACATTGATAACAATGGGGTGTCGTCTTCATTGAGAGACAGAAACGGACAACATAATGCAATTTAAGAGCAGCTTAAAAACAGTGCTGCAGCTTGTTTTTTGTAACTTGCTTCTCGGAAAGAGTTCCAAGAGTTCAAGCCCAGAATATAAACAGGTTTAAAAATTGAATGTAATCTTTATTGCTTTATTTAACTACAGTAGATATGTCTATTGAGGATAAATTCCTATTTACAATAATGACCCAGTAAAGGTATACAGCAGGATGATATTTGCTGGAACAAACTGGAGCCAACTACATGTACAGGGGTACAAAGCAATATTCCACCCTACATCTGAGTACTCAGCCTTCGAGGTGTGACTCAGTACCCCTAACTAATGCTCCACCTGCAATAATAGGATACACAGTGGGATTCATTATATATTCTAAATTGTCCTCATTCCTCATTTCAAGGCTTATTACCTTATTTTCAGCTTTTATGACTCAGATGGATTTGTAGCAATAATCACGATTTCCTAAACAGAAGTGAGGAAAAGTGTGGCTTTTTAAAAAAAAAACTGCGGTTTGTGCAGTAAAAGGGTATCCGCCATAGACAGAATGCTTCAGTCAACAGTAAGAAACTGAGAGAAAACAGAATTCCTCTGGTCCTAAGTCACCACCCGTCATAAGAAACATACTGAAAAAAATGTAAACTTCTACAGAAAGACCCCTGCACTGAATTTTAAAACAAGAACAAGAATTTTATGTACAGTAGATGTGAACACAGACATAAAAGAATACTTTGACAGCAGTAGAATTTTTAAAAGCCACTTTTCCAAGCAACACATCAACCTTTGCAGAGAAATCAGGGGCCTTAACTCACCAGTTTCCATTCGCTAACCCTTTATCTGCATTTCTAAAGGAGTAGTTTACGGAATTTCCATTGAAAGAAGTGGAGAAAGCTAAAGATGATTAACAGGCCATTTAGTGGAACATCTACTGAGCATTCAAATTAATACCACAACATTTCCAGTCGCTCGTCACTTCAGTCAAACCTTGGAGGTAATCACCCTGCTGAAGAGATCCCTGTCTGTGGAGTAAGTCAGTGTTATGGAACAAATGCTTCATGCAAACAAAAAGGAGCGAAAATTGATCTTCACTCCAGAGACTTTGGAACCTCTTGGAATAAATGTTCTGTTCTGACATCATCATAACGTGATGCACAGATGTTGTAAAACCAGGAAGTTAACTGCAATGTGGTTTCCTATCAGCTGAAGAGGACTTTTGTCCAAAATGTCCTGAAACAAGACACTTTTTTTATTTAGTCATTTGAGCACCACAATTGTTCACCCTACTTTA